CTCTCTCCCCTTCACATAGGGGAAGAGGATGATTTGACATTAGCACTTCACTCCCCTTTCTACAAGACTGAGGGCACCATATATCTTGTTGTCAATAAGTTGGGAAATAGTGATGATCTCTTTTGACATTTGCTATGCTACTAGACCTGCCAGCACCTCACTTTCCTGAGACAAGGAGAAAGAAGCATGACAAAAACAGGGAAGCAGGAGAAATCAAGATGGCGGCATAGGTAAACACTGGAAATTGCTGTCTCCCACAACAAATTCCAAAATACAACTAAAAGACGGAACGGACATCATCCAGAACCACAGGAAGGCTGGCTGAGTGGAAATTCTACAACTAGAAGGAAAGAGAAAAGCATACCGAGATTCAGAAGAGGTGTGGTGTGGAAGTAAAATACAAAGGTGCAGAGGTGCATGCGGAGAGGGCTGCTGGCTGAGGACACAGTTGTCGTTTTCAATCGGGAGGGAGTCTCAAGCTCTGAGCTCCAGTTCCGGGCGAGTCTCTGGGGAGCCAGACTCATACGGGAGAAATGGGACTGTCTGGCATCAGTCGGAACTCGAGGGAAGCTTTCTCTCGGAGGTGCTCGCAGTGATTGCCGGGGCCTCTGAGGGTAGGACTGAGAGCAGCCATAACTGCTCGCTCCACCCTGTTGATCCCCTGGAACCCCGCCCCGCCCAAGGCTTTTGCATATGAAAGGCCCTGCCCTTTGTAATCTGAAAATTACTTAACAAACTGCAGCTGGCCCAAGGCCCTAGGGCAACTTGCATTGCTTCACAGCTGGCTTCTGCTGAGTAGCCTCAGGCAGAGGCTAGATTAGCACCTCCTTAGAGATCCAGGAGCCAGTTCTCCCACTGCAGAAACAGTGGATTCTCACAATTGGCCTGGAGGTCAATCCCTCCCAATGTTACCTACAACAATCAAGGCTTAACTACAACAAGACTGTGCACAAAAACCACAAGGGGGTGCACCAAGAGTGTCTACCTCAGGTAATTGGGGAGGCTGAGCCACTGGGCCCTATAGGACACTTAGCAGAGAAAGCCACTCTATCAACACAGCGAAGCATAAAAAATGCCGAGACAAAGAAACAGGACACAAATGACAGAAATGGAGGAAAGCAAACTACTAGATATAGAGTTCAAAACAACATTTTTAAGGTGTTTCAAGAATTTTTTAGAAACCGCTGATAAACTTAATGAGACCCTCAAGAAATTTAGTGAGACCTTCGACGTTGTGATAAAGGACCAACTAGAAATTAAGCATGCACTTACTGAAATAAAGAATATTATACAGACTCCCAACAGCAGACCAGAGGATCGCAAGAATCAAGTCAAAGATTTGAAATACGAAGAAGCAAAAAACACCCAACCGGAAAAGCAAAATGAAAAAAAGAATCCAAAAATATTAAGATAGTGTAAGGAGCTCTGGGACAACTTCAAGCGTACCAACATCCGAATTATAGGGGTGCCAGAAGAAGAGAGAGAGCAAGATATTGAAAACGTATTTGAAGAAATAATGACAGAAAACTTCCCCTACCTGGTGAAAGAAATAGACTTGCAAGTCCAGGAAGCACAGAGAACCCCAAACAAAAGGAATCCAAAGAGGACCACACCAAGACACATCATAATTAAAATGCCAAGGGCTAAAGACAAAGAGAGAATCTTAAAAGCAGCAAGAGAAAGAGACTCAATTACCTACACGGGAGTACCCATATGACTGTCAGCTGATTTCTCAAAAGAAACCTTGCAGGCCAGAAGGGAGTGGCAAGAAATATTCAAAGTGATGAATAGCAAGAACCTACAACCAAGATTACTTTATCCAGCAAAGCTATCATTCAGAATTGAAGGTCAGATAAAGAGCTTCACAGATAAGAAAAAGCTAAAGGAGTTCATCACCACCAAACCAGTATTATATGAAATGCTGAAAGGTATTCTTTAAGAAGAGGAAGAAGAAGAAAAAGGTAAAGATACAAATTATGAACAACAAATACACATCTATCAACAAGTGAATCTAAAAATCAAGTGAATAAATAATCTGATGAACAGAATAAACTGGTGATTATAATAGAATCAAGGGCATTGAAAGGGAGTGAACTGACTATTCTTGGGGGGGGAAAGGGGTGTGGGGGATGCGGGAAGAGACTGGACAAAAATTGTGCACCTATGAAGGAGGACAGTGCGGGGGGTGAGGGCAGAGGGTGGGAGGGGAACCAGGTGGAGGGGAGCTATGGGGGGAAAAAAAGAGGAACAACTGTAATAATCTGAACAATAAAGATTTAATTTAATAATAAAAAAAAAGAAATAACAACAACAAAAAAAAAAAAACAGGGAAGAGAGAGGAAGTACCCAGTGGAGAGCCTATATTCCCACTTAGTACTATAAAAATACATGAACTTCCTGTCAGTTGAACTAACTCCATGGAAAGTGGCAGGACTGAAGCCGATTGCTAATATAACCCTCCTCCCAACATATACACCCATGAGTGGAGTGATTACAGTCCAGTCGCCTTCCACAAGCAAACTCATGTGTCCTTGCCACCCCAGATGTAGGGATCCAGAAGTAAAAGGCTCTATACTAGGTGGGGAGAGAAAGCAGTAAGACTCTCTCCCAAGAGAGGGGACTATGACAGGGAACCCCTAGAGAGCCCTCATGGAACTACCATATGTGCCAGAGAAGAGCCAGCATTTGGACACCTGTTTCATGGATAGAACCAACAGAAACATCAAAACAAACAGAAGGCAAAGTGTAAGGAGACCCTGGTTGTCTGTTTCCCCCTGCTTGCTAGAATATGCTTTTAGCTGCCCAATCCTAACAGTGCCAGATCATGTGTATGGACATAGTTTTTACGCTCCTCCTACATTTTATTCATCATTAATCATGATAAAGCTGGCATTGCTGTCAACATCTCATGTGTAAGAAGTCTGATTGGGAAATGAAAAACAAATAAAACCTAAAAAAGGAAATGTGGATCTAGAATAAAATAGATTGATAAGGGTCATAAAAATCCAATCCTCTAGAAAAACAATAAGAACTAAATTCATTTCATAAAAATATATTTAAAAAGGAAAGAGGCCTACATACCCAAATGCCAAAGGAAAGAAGGCCAGGGGGGAAAGGTGGTCATGGATTCTGTTTTGAAGTCAGGAGAGAGACCAAGAAATAGTAAATCCTCTGTTTGAGGAAGGCAAAGAACCTGGGCTTTAGTCAGAAATTCAGCCTAAGAAAGTTTTCCACTTTTTCAAATGGCCCTGTCATAAACATCTCCAGTGACAAAGATCTAGCCTCTCTGCAAGTATCTAGTTCACCATGCCCTTTTGTCATCAAACAAACTTATCTACAATAGGCACCAGAGACAAAGAACAGAAAAGCAGAGGTGGTTGGCCCAGATTAACGCTACTGGCCAATGGGATTCTTCCTAACCTTCAAGTAGATATTAATCCTGCCACTGTTTAAGTGGAGAACAAGAATATTCAGCAAATGGTGACTGCACATGACAGGAGTCCCACTGATCTATTTTTCTTCTTGCCCACTTTGTCCATAAAATCAGTTCCTTACTACATCATCCAGGAAAAGGTTAGACTGTATCATCTAAAGACCTGTACCGCCTCACCTCCACCTGGCTTAACTGGAAAGACAACTGTACACTGGCTGAGCTGGTAAAGGTCATCAGAACTAATTACAGTGTTAACTAGGATGAGATCTGACATCACTTGGAAACAAACTGCAAATACAAATGGCTCAAGAGCTTGCCACAAAACTCATCTAAATGTACTGTTAACTTCTCCATAAATAAAAACATCCCCTTAAAACAAAACCAAGAGTATTGAGGCTTCAGACCCAGATAATAAAGACTAGTATGTAACCCTAACAGACTGAAATGCTTATGCTCTCTCTGACTCTATCTTAATTCTAGCTAGCCTGTGCTTTTCCCATGGCCTTCAGGAGAACGGTTCCTGCATATAATTATAGATATGCTAATTATTAAGGGAATTCTGCTTGAGGCTTGAGCTTTTGGCAAAGATTTGCAGGAGCCTCAAGATCAGACTCAGATTAGCAGGGATCAAACAGACCAGGAAGAAAAAGATTTAGAGATTTCATGCTCTTTCTTTGATCCCTGTTGGGGCCTAGGTGTCACACACTTCTTGGTTTGCCCGTTCTCCCTTCCTGTCACATAAAAGAAGCCTGAATTCTGGGCTCTTGTAAAATGGACTTGCAGAGGCTGTAAGGCCCCAGCTTATCAAGCTGGCACCTTCTCAATTAACAAACCTTTCTTTACTCCAAACTGGCATTTTGAATATTGGTCTTTTGAACCATCAGGCATCAGAACCTTGAATCAGTAACATAACATCTTTTTCTAACCCAAATGTGATGAAATCAAATCACACACACAAAGAAAATCTTTGGAAAACATGTGACCTCACTTAAAAATTAATGTTGGGAAATCCATGTTGTTATATCTTAACCAGGCAGCAGCAGTAAACCTCGCACTCTGGATTATTGATTCTCAAGGAGTCAACTATTTGGACCAGATGATGCTTCTGACTTTTGTCTGTATTGCACATCATTAAGAACAAGGTCTATAGACATTGTGGATGTTGGGGATTATTGTCGGCTTTGTAAAAGAAGCTTTGTACTGTCAGGATGGTTTTAGCAGCAAGTATGTACCAAGTCCTAAATTAACAAACTGGCATTAAAATAAACAAATTTATTATTTCACATAATGAGAAGTTGGGAGGTAAGATCTTTCAAGGGTTGGCTACTTTAGGAATTCAGCAATGTCATAGGCATCTCTATTCTATTTTCTGCTGCCATCCTAAGCATATTGTTTTTTATCCTCACAATTATTTCCTTCATAATTGTCCTCAAGATTTTGTCGTCCTCATCTAAAAACAGGTAGAAATTTGCCATTCTTTTTTTCTAGGAATGGAATGAACTTCTCTAGTAGCACTGCCCCAAATTAAAAACAGTAAGCAGATGAGAGAAAAGAGTAGCCTCAGACATGGGTTATAAACAGCTCCTTTATTATAAATAATCAAACTTGATAAAACTGGAAGAAATATTCTCTTTAAAAAAAAAAAAACACTTAAATATGGCTGCCCAAAATAACTAAAGAACACAATGACCCATACAATTAAATTCTCTCTTCAAATATCAGCACAACATGTATATATCCCCTAACCTGGTACATTTTTATAGAGTGTTTAATTTTTCCTAAAAGCATATTACATTAATCACATTTTGTTTAAATTATTCTGATGTCACCTTTATAACAATCATCTCTTAAATATTTAAATACCATGAAAATACAACTTGGGTCATTTTGAGAAATTCCCATTTCAACTCAATGAAATATGTCCATATAGTTACATATTTTACTCTTTTCAGAGTAGGTCACCTCTAGACCTCTTGGAATATTTCACCCTTTTCTACGAAAGTGTATGCGACTCATAAGTTCTCTGAACTTCAGTATTAAGGAGCTGTCTTTCCATGCTTCACAAGTACTTCTAAATTTGTCATAATAACTTTCTTTTTTCAGGTTGAAATCTGATCCAATTTTTTTAAAATAACTATCTTTCTTCCAATATTCTCCCCAGGAGTCTTTGAATTTTTCCAAATAAGATTTTTTTTCATATTCTTCCTTCCATAGTCCTTCTCCCTTTTTTAAGGCTGTTAATTCAGCTTTCAGTAAGCGTTTGTGAATTTTCCAATACATTTTAGAATCATGATTTAGTCCTTTAACAAGAACAGTTTTGCCAAGGCCTCTTCTCAAAATGTCTTCATTTAGATTCACATTAAAAAATCTACCCTGGAATGAAAAATAACACAAACCAATTATTTAAGAAAATTGCTAGTAAGCCCATACCATCTATTTATTTTAAATTGAGTCATTCAGCAACTTTAGTACTCCAGAGAAAAGCCAAAAAGCAAAAGGGTCCCCAAGGGCTTAAAACAGCTAATTTATAATTCAAGAATTTCATCACTAGAAGAGATACTTGCTCAAATTCAGTTGCCTGTTTTATAACATATCACTCTCAGCCTCGCTGTTCTAACCCAAAGAGGCTTAGAAGCAGTAAAATGTATAAAAAGCAGGTTTTTTGTTTGTTGTTTTGTAGAAGAATGGATCATACAAGATAGGCAAACTGACAGAAGGCCACAGTAAAAGAAACTAAAACAGTAAGCAAATGCAAAATGAACTGAATCATCATGAAAATATTAAATTAGGTTCAGAATTCCAGCGTTTTGGAAGGCGCTAGCATGTAAATGAATTTTTTAAAGACTTTCCACAAAATAATTAACATAAAAATAGGCCTGACCTGGAATCTTCATCCTTCAGAAAATTTCATTCATGGAATCCCTCACTTCCTAGTGAAACTGGATACATGGGATTTCCTCTCCCCACACCCCACTAAGTTACAAAGTAAAGGAGATCCTGATTAGCTATTTCTATACTCCTTGTGGGACTTTAACAAATTACTGTATTAATAATTTCATAGCTTCATTAGACAAGTAATTTACAGTTAAATTCTAAAAATGTGAAAACTCCAGGTTTAAAGTGGGAGATGTTTTCTAGGACTATCTAAAGAAAAAGTAACCTTTTGCTCCTTTAAATACAGCAACTTTTGCCCTAGCGAGTTTGGCAGAGTGCATAGAGCATTGGCCCTTGGACTGAAGAGATGCAGGTTCAATTGCGGTCAAGGGCATGTATCTTGATTGCAGGCTGGATCAGGTTGGGGTGCATACAGGAGGCAACCAATGGATGTGTCTCCCTCACATCAATGTTTCTCTCTCTCTCTGACTCTACCCCTCCCTTCCACACTCTCTAAAAATCAATAGAAAAATATCCTCAGGTAAGGATTAACAAAAATAATCCCACAAAATAAATACAGTAAGTTTTGGTATAGGAGTTAATAAGTACAGTTTATCATATTTTTCTCAATCATTTAAATTTTAAGAGCTCATTCCCTTACGCCAAAATCAGATTAAAATTCAACCTCACACATTAGCAAAATTCAACAGATGTGTAAATTACCACAATATACATATAGCACCGTTTGGTCACCTGCTAGGAAGCAATACAAGGTAAAATACACAAGGTGAAGTGTGGGCTCAGAAGCCAGAAAGAGCTGGGTTTGAATACAGGTTGGTTACCCTGCCTCCCATTGTTACAGGAAGAATGAATGGGCCAGATTTCCCAGACACAAGTGGGAATAAGGTTCTTGGGATACAGCTGAAATAAGCATTTTCAGAAGCCCCCATGGAGGATGGGATGTGGAAGAGGCTTTATTTGCATAAAGTTGTATTTCTTGGGTTGTAAGGTCCCCTGCCCCTTAAGCCAGTCCTGGAAAAGGTGTAGCTGGGATTCCAGCAAAGCCAGAAGCAAGGCCGGTGTCCAGAGCTTCCATTCTATGCTGTAGCCCCGTGTAGTTTAGCATCCAAGTTCATTAAAGCCCATTAATTCATTGTGGTGTGCCTGGTGGCTGTGAACCACATGGGCACAGGGGAGTACATCCCTGTCACAGAAGAGCCCTGCACGGGGCGCCAGAGAAGAAAAGAGAGAAGGAAGGAACTTCCTTTGTTTGGAAGTTTAAATATTCAGGTTTCAAGCACTTGTAGTGGCCACGCCTATTCTGGCCAATTACCTGTTCCCAGATGTGATTGACGGGAAAGCACCTTCACATCTCACTCAGAACTTTACTGGGCATGTGTCTCAACTGTCCCTTCCCCCATGGTTCAGCAGGGGACAGACTTGGGAGTGTTAAATGTAGCTTTTTGGCAAAACTGTATAAATGGCATGCCTATGTGAGGTTGAAATGGCTCCTGTGAGGTTGAAACGGCCCCTGTGAGGCTGAGACAGCCCCTGTGAGGCTGGGACAGCCCCTGAGAGGCTGCAACAGCCCCTGTGAGGTTGCGACGGCCCCTGTGAGGCTGAGATGGTCCCTGTGAGGCTGAGACGGCCCCTGTGAGGCTGAGATGGTCCCTGCGAGGCTGCACCAGCCCCTGGGAAACTGAGAAAAATACCACATGATCTCACTCATTTATGGATAATAAAGACCATTATAAACTGATGAACAAAAATAAATACAGAGGCAGAGCAGCATTGAACAGACTGTCAAACTACAGTGGGAAGCCTGAGGAGGGTTGGGGGGGGTGGTAAGAGATCAACCAAAGGACTTGTATGCATGCATATAAGCATAACCAATGGACACAAGACACTGGGGGTATGTCAAGGGGGGAAAAAAGGAGACATATGTAATACCCTTTGTAATACTTTAAGAAATAAAACAAAATTAAATAAATGGCATGCCTATGTTATTTAACCTTCCCTTTCCTCCTTTTCTGTTAAATAATAGCCAGGTTATTACAATGGTATCACCATCTGTGAATGGGAATATAAACAGTGACTCTATAGGGTGGTTTTGAAGATAAATAAAATATATTCCTCAATTTAAAAGAGAAGATGATATTTTTGAAATGCCTTTGGTATCTCTTATATGATTCTGTATCATCAATTTACTTTTAAATGCAAGATGCTTTGGATATTTCTTATTTTGATAGAAATGAATATGATCTGGACATGCAAAAAAATAATGGATTCCATTAGGCTTTCTATAAATAATTCAAAAACTAAAGAATTAAAGTAGTTACTATTCTAATCACTTATTAAAAATATGTTTTTATTTATTTCAGAGAGAGGAAGCAAGAGGGAGAGGGAGATATAAAATCAATGATGAGGAAGAACCATCCATCAGCTGCCTCCTGCATGGTCCCAATGGGGATCAAGCCTAAAATCCAGGCATGTGCCCTGACCTGGATTTGAACTGTGACTTCCTGGTTCATGGGTTGACACCCAACCACTGATCCACATCCGCGGGGTTCTAATAATTAAGGTTATTGTTTCTTCAAATTATTCTTGTTTATTATACAACTAGAGGCCCGGTGCACGGGGGTGGGTCCCTCAGCCTGACCTGCACCCTCTCCAATCTGGGAGCCCACAGAAGATGTCCTACTGATGGTTTAGGCCCGGTCCCCATGGTTCTCTGCTCTCTACAGACCTGTCTGCTTGTCGCCGCCACAGGTCCTGGTGTCTGCTCTCTGTGGGGCCTGCTTGCCCCTCACTGGGGCGAGGGCTAAAAGGACAACTCCAGAGGGGCTGAGGGGACTGGGCGCTGCCATCTTTGTGACAGAGTGACAGTTAATTTGCATATTGTCTTTATTAGCTAGGATAAGGAACTTTAAAAATAAGAAAAACTACTCAAAAAAGATTTTCCTTAAATTAGCAATGTTTAGAGTCAATAATTTTAAATTTTTCCTTCATCTTAATTTTCTATTTTTTATAATAAACATATATAATAATAATAAACTAAAGTTTATTATTTTTTATAATAAACTAAAATTTCATAACAGAATTTACATATGAAACATCTGATTCTCTAAACATAATCACTATGAGTAGCAGTTTTAAAAGACAAAAATATTCAGTCCCATTATATAGCCAATGTTCTAATTCAGTGATGGCGAACCTATGACGTGCGTGTCAGAGGTGACACGCGAACTCATTTTTTTGGTTGATTTTTCTTTGTTAAATGGCATTTAAATATTATATAAAATAAATATCAAAAATATAAGTCTTTAACTATGGTTGTAAATATCAAAAAATTTCTATATGTGACACGGCACCAGAGTTAAGTTAGGGTTTTTCAAAATGCTGACACGCCGAGCTCAAAAGGTTCGCCATCACTGTTCTAATTAATGGCATATTAATGTGTAAATAAAAAGAATAAAATATTGCTTATTATTTGTTCACACTACTTACCTTATTCACTAAAAGGTAGCAAAAGAGTACTGAATTCTCCTTTCCGAGAAGCTGGAACCACAGTAGTTGGGAAGGTTTTAGTTCTTTTTGTAACCACACCTTCCCAGATTTCGTGAGTTCTACTCCAGCCAGCTTAACCAGCAAAACACCACAGGGCTCTTCTAAAAAGGTTAGATAGAGAAGAGAGTAGCTTTAATACTGTGTTGTGAACGCAAATTTCAAAATCATTTACCACCCCCCCTCCCCAAATCAATTGAATGTATTGTTTATTTATAAATACCCAGGTTCTCTAGATGTAAGTCTATTTATGTCTATACTCAAGCTTTCTTTTAAAAGAAGACAAGTATATAACAGATAGAATAATTTCAAAAACCTACTTCAGTCTCCACAACAGGATGTGGGAATTTGAGGAGGAAAGAACCAGCCCCTGCCCAGCCCTCCTTGTCCCCTTCTTCCCTATGCCCTAGCCACTTGAGTCTTCGCATGGCTTATCACAAGAGCCAAGCTCATTCCCACACATTTTTCTCTCACTCTTCAGGTCTCTGATTAAATAGCAACTCCTCAATGACCATTTTATAGGTATAGGTTCCTCCTTTACATGATCCCCAATAATCCACATCCTAGCACCCAGCCCCTTCTCTTATAGCTCTAAGAACAATTTTCATTTGTTTGTTGTCCATCTTCCACCTAGACTGTAAGCTCCAAGAGGTAGAGTGGTCTTGTTTCGCTCAGCACTGTACAGCTAGTATAGGGCCTAGAACACATCTGAATCTTGATTTGAATAAATCAACAATAGGCACTTAATATTTGTGGAATGAATGCTTGAATGCCTGAATAAAATAATGAGTAGTTGATAAAAGGGAGGGAAGGAAGAAAGGAAATCTGGAGCTAAAGTGTTCCTTGTATGTTAAGTCCAAGAGTTTAGAGCTATTAAAAATTAAAATCAAATTTTTTTGCTATTTTATAAATAACTTCTAATAAAGGAATACTAAATAGTTATTTAGTCTTATTATACTTGCACCTTACTTACTTCTCCATGACGATATAATAGGTAAAGTAATAGGAATATGTTCAATTTCTAAAACATCCTCAGTTAGTCGGCGTAATCGTCCACGTAGTTTAACATTCTTTTTTATAAATTCTAGTGGAATGTCTGAAGAACTTGTAAATTTTGATGTCTGATGATTTACAAGGAGAAAAATACAACGTTTTGTTATTATTCACTTTAAAATTGTGTTAAATTATTAAACATTAACAAGAAGACAGCCACTGAAAAATTTTTATTTGGTTCTTAATTTTATATTAATATTTAATATGATTTAATCAAAAGTGTTTATAGGGGCATTCTTTAGAAATATTTGTCACCATTTTACTATTTCAAGCTACTATATAGTGCACATTGAACAGATTCCTAACTTCTAAAAGCTTACATCCTCAAAATGTAACACAATTCATCAAAAAGAAGTGAGTATAATGAATATATATATATCTGTACCTTGCACTACACAAGCCTGGTTAAATAGTCACTATCCTATTCCACAGATGTGCAATCTACTCATACAGGTACTGCTGGGAAAATCTAAGCCAAATTAAGTCAAATTAAAATAGAACTTTTAATCAACAAGACTTTTTTTTTACTTATTTTTTATCTCATAGGAGAAAAATTACAAAAAAGGTCAACATTAGAAATTTAATTAAATACCTAAAGCCCTAGAGTTAGTCAATATTTTATACCTATCTCTTCCACATTAACAATACTATAGGGACACAGGGATGAGCTTCATTCAAAATCATGGCTAACTAAGAGCTTCACATATGTAGGATAAATTAGTACCCAACTTCCTAAGAGAGTAAAGTTGAACTAAACATTACCAAAAAAAGTTACACACAAGAAAAAGGTTGTAGCAGACAAATTCTGCATGTGGAACACTCAATGGGACAAATGACTTGGTAACTCTTCTAACAAATCAATGGCTTGGTGGGAAATATAGGTATGGTGAATTGTTATAAAATAAACTAGAGGCCCAGTGCACAAAAATTTGTGCACTGGCTGGGGGAGGGGGGCGTCCCTCAGCCCGGCCTGTGCCCTCTCGCAGTCTGGGACCCCTCAGGAGATAATGACCTGCTGGCTTAGACCTGCTCCCGGGTGGCAGAGGGCACACCCAATCCCTAGGTGCAGCCCCTGGTCGGGCTCAGAGCAGGGCCGACTGGGGAGTTGGGGCGCCGCCCCCTGCATGCACAGAGCAGGGAGGATCGGGAGGTTGTGATGCCACCCTCAGTCACGCTCAGGGTAGGGCCGATTGGGGGGTTGGGGCGCCGCCCCCTGTCACACTCAAGGCAGGGTCGATGGGGAGGTTGCAGCGCCACCCCCGTCACGCACAGAGCAGGGCGGATCACGGGGTTGTGGTGCCACCCCTGTCACGCACAGAGCAGGGCCCATCAGGGGGGTTGGGGCTCCGTACCCTGTCACACACAGAGCAGGGCCGATCAGGGGGTTGGGGAGCTCCCCCCTGTCATGCACAGAGCAGGGCTGATCAGGAGGTTGTGATGCCACCCTCAGTCACGCTCAGGGTAGGGCCGATTGGGGGGTTGGGGCGCTCCCCCCTGTCACACTCAAGGCAGGGCCCGTGGGGGGGGGGGGTGCCGCACCCTGTCACACACAGAGCAGGGCCGATCAGGGGGTTGGGGAGCTCCCCCCTATCAGGCACAGAGCAGGGCTGATCAGGGGGTTGGGGCGCCTTCCCTTGTCACGAACAGAGCAGGGCGGATAGGGAGGTTGTGGCCCCGCCCCCTGTCACACACAGAGCCACAGGGCGATCAGGGGGTTTGGTCGCTGCCCCGTCACGCTGATCCTGGTGCCGGGAGGCATATTACCCTTTTACTATATAGGGTAGAGGCCTGGTGCACGGGTGGGGGCCGGCTGGTTTGCCCTGAAGGGTGTCCTGGATCAGGGTGGGGGTCCCACTTGGGTGCCTGGCCAGCCTGGGTGAGGGGATGATGGCTGTTTGCAGCTGATCACACCCCCTTCAGGGTGGGGGTCCCCACTGGGGTTCCTGGCCAGTCTGGGTGAGGGGCTGAGGGCTGTTTTCAGGCTGGCGGGTGACTGAAGCTCCTCCCAACCTCTCCTTTTTTTCTTTTTTCTTTTTTTATTCTGGGCCAGCTTTAGCTCTGGGCTTGGCTCTAGCTCTGAGGCCTCGGCTGCTGAAAGCAGGGATCTGGGTTTGTTTGGGTTCTATAATTGTAACACTGTTGTGTTCCTGCTCACTCCAGCTCTGACGGCTGAAAGCAGATTTCTGGGGTTTTGTTTAGCTTCTATATTTGTAACATTGTTTCTTAGAGAGCAAGCTCAGAGGCCGGCAAGGCAGGCAGGGAACGTTGGCTTCCTCCGTCACTGAAGCAAGCAAGCCTCCTATTCGCTTCAAGCTGCCTGGCTGCCAGCCGCCATCTTGGCTGGCAGTTAATTTGCATATCACCCTGATTAGCCAATGGGAAGGGTAGCGGAGGTACGGCTAATTACCATGTTTCTCTTTTATTAGATAGGATGAGACTTAAGAGATATAACAAACAAACACAATTTCTGGACCATCTGAATCCTGATTTGAATAAATCATCTACTTAAAAAAGACATTACTGAGACAATCAAAGAAATTTTAATATGGACTGGGTCTGAAATACTAAGAGATTACTAATTAAATTATGTGTCATACTATTATATGACAAACAGGCATCAATGAGCTTCTTGATGCAATATAATAAGTATACACCACCTTCTTGTTCACACTAAATCTAATGAGGAAACACACACCCCAAGAATGTGGGACATTCTACAAAACAATTGGCTTGGATTTGGTTAGAGCACAGTCTTCTATTCTGAAAGGTTGCATGTTTGATTCTCTGTCAGAGCACTAATGGGAGGCAACTGATCAATGTTTCTCTCTCACACTGATGTTTCTTCTTCTCTTTCTCTCTCTCTAAAAAGAATTGATAGTAAGTTCAAGGCACTTAAGATAAAAGTGCTGACATGGAATTAGGGGGGAAAGGCAACAATTGGAAAAGATGTAGTGTAGTAATGCTATGTAGTCAATGATAATATAAAAATATATAAATAATAAGTGTAGGAAATAAATAAATACAGAAACCATAAATCCATGCCCAATTGCAACATGACATTAAAATTACATCCTATAGCAAGTACAGTTATAAAAAAAACTTGTAAGTCTTGAAATATCAAACGAATTTCCACAGTGTTTATTATTAAAACTGTATTGAAAGTGCAAAAAAAAAATATGCTAACTGAAAGCATAAATTATTTTTTATACTGGGCATGTTGCTTTATTCATTGCACAACTGATCTTAAAGAGTGTTGCAAATTAGAGGAAGCATAAATTTTTCATTTCAGAGAGACATAATTTAACTCTGATCTAAATCTGAAACTGCTATAGAAACCAGTTTTGAGATATTCCACAATGTCAGAAATGCAAATTTAGTGATTATACCATTCTCACAAACTAAATCCTTTTCAGATTCCCTTTTAACCATGAAGAAAGTGATTATGGAAATACAGGATGTGCAATTACTTGCCATACAAAATACTGTGGATGTGTTACTGTTAAACAAGAGCTTAATTGTTCATTATCCTAAAATACTATTTAAAGTTTCTAAGATGAATAACAAAATGCTACACTGCTTGAGATAAAAACTGAAGTGAGAAAAAAAGTAACTGTCTACTGATTCTCATAATGTCTTGTTCATTGTTTAACTTACCAGCCGAACACTTCTTAGAAGTAATGATATTCCAGCTACGGCCATTATGGTGCTGATGTTCTTCAGAAAGAGATTCAATGATTAATTCTCACAACAGTGAAAGTACTAATTAGAAAGGGAAAAAAGGACAGTCCTCCTAACTGTCCAAATAAGGTACATTCTTCAACTGAAGGCCTACTTATTCCAAAAAACTTTAACTGCCCACCTATTAGTCTTCTTTTTCTCCCAAATAATCTGGCATGCACAGTAATTGTTCACAGAATAATGTATTGTTCTCTATTATTGTATTGCTTTATCCATGAGTTCCTTGAAAGCAAGGATCAGTTTAATACTTCTTTGTGTAATGCCAACAATAACTCACATAACCCTGAGTCTACAGTGGGGATGTAAGTATTTGGGTAGAAAACTTTATCACCAAAACCAAAACCTTAAAATACCACACCTTGGGAAATACATGTGGGCAAGTAGTTGAGTAAAACTTAGCGATGTTTTTTATAGTGTTTTCTATAAACTGAAATGGGTGTTTAATTAAAAAATAAGGACCCTGCAGCTCCCTACACAGAAGCGAGACTCTCACAGGATTTTCTTCAATAAATGCAAGTGGGTATATAAGAAATGACGCTGAAAGTGTGCACACGGTACCTTCTGAGATGGGTTCCTTGGAATAATACATCCCTGTACTAAAACACTGCTTCCACTCCCAACCCTGCTAACGCCATTTTTCCATTTGAAAAAGCCCAGGCATCTCTTCCTGCTTACCTGGCAGCGTGGAGGCCTGATCAGTTCACACCTACATACCCACCACTCACTAATGCCACATCTCTTCATCTAGCACAGCGGTTCTCAACCTGTGGGTCGCGACCCCTTTGGGGGTCGAACGACTCTTTCACAGGGGTCGCCTAAGACCATCATCGGAAAACACATCTATAATTACATATTGTTTTTGTGATTAATCACTATGCTTTAATTATGTTCAATTTGTAACAATGAAAATACATCCTGCATATCAGATATTTACATTACGATTCATAACAGTAGCAAAATTACAGTTATGAAGTAGCAACGAAAATAATTTTACGGTTGGGGGTCACCACAACATGAGGAACTGTTAAAGGGTTGCGGCATCAGGAAGGCTGAGAACCGCTGATCTAGCGCTTACTTTACGGAGGGGGGCTGCACTCCTCGAGTGAAACCAGACATGGTCCTAGCCCTCTGTGCTGCTTGGCCACAGGGCATTTTTAAGGCATTGATCCTACCCAACTTCTCAGGAGAATTCAACCCCGTTCATCATTCCTTCTGAAAACATTCCCCTCACCTGGTCCCCCCTCCCCCTTCACTGTTCTTTGCCCATCTGCCTGGCACCCTTCTTTTCACTCCCCAGTTTCTAAACTGTTCGGGAGGCTCGATGGCAACGAGG